GGTGTTGTCTAATTCCATCTTCAGTTTCTTGCCCTTACAGAGGTCTTGGGTAGTTGGCCTACAGGTAGAGTGTTCTTCCAGCACCTGAATTCCCACACCTTTGAGCTGTCTTTGAAATGGATAGTATTCGGTGTAAAGGCTTCTCTTCAAAGGGAAGTTTGGCAAGGCTTATCCTGCATCCCTCCCCCTTCCTTTCCGAAGCCATTATTTTCTCCACTTCATTGCTCCATAGGGAGAAGCACTCCCTCCCCCTCCCTGCCACAGCTTTCTTCTATTGTCTGTCCTCCCCACATCTTTCTCCTTCAGGAGTCGATCCAGTTCAAGCCGGGGCAACACAACATGTCCAGAGACATCAAAGAGACAGCAGGTTGCCTGGCTTTGCAGCAAGTCCACTGAGTTACACTGTCTTCGGCCTCTAATGGTGTGCTAGGGACACATCACATTCCTTTTAAATAAGCTCCGAGTTCAGTTGGAAGCCACAAAAACCGCTGTGTCAAAATGACACTATCCTCCGTGCACACTTTGCTCCTTATATGTTATCAAAGTCATAGCTGTCATCTGTCAACCAGCAACTTTGGTTTTCCATGCAAAGCTATTGTGGCTTCCCCGCCCCCCTTTTGCTGTATTGTATTGAATTGGGTTGTGATGTGTTGTACTCTGATGGTGGTGGTTTGTGCAGCACTGGCTATGCCCAGTGTAACTGTGCCTTCTTGCCCAGAATTTGGAAATAAATGAAAGTGAGAGTTGGTGTGGCATAGCAGCTAAGAGCGAGAGCAGCACAGGACAAAGCCCCTGGTTCAGACTTTGCATCTGCATTTAACTCACAAGGGACTGACATAAGGGAAATAACTTTTCTCTCAATGCCTCTCCCTCTGGCCCTCACCTCATCTGTGAGATGGGAGGGAATAATAGTGTCTTGTTTTGCAAACTGTTTAAGGATTGCAATTGGACAATGCATAAGAGCCACAATGAATACTTGCAAATGCTGCACAATTTTTAAGCATTATTAATTATTCTGTTGAAAATTACTCCTAGAATATGGAAGGCCAAAGCACAGAATGTCTGTTTTGTGTTACAAGTGTGCAGTGGGTGATTTGGGTGAAAATGCAGCTTTTCTCTTAGCACTGAGATGCTGCAAAAGGAATAGATTTTGGTGGAGTGGTGGGGGGGGAGGGGGAGAAGGAAAAAGGAGAAGAAGCTTTTAAGAGAAGTCAGACACAGCATTGCTCAAAGTCCCCCAGAGACTCCTGAGGTTTTTGGACAGTGTTTTTGGATACATAGTTCCCAGGTGAGATATTTGCCTGAGGGCATTTCACTGGCATTTCACCTGGTTCACAAGGAACCAGGAAATGCAGAAAAGGTAACAACAGGCACAGGTGAACTGAAACATATTTTGTACACAGAATGGAATACGTACTTTGTTTCTGTTTATCAGAAAGAGCAGATGTGTTAGAAAAACACATTATGGCCTGCTGCTACAGTGAATTTAACAGTGGATTGTTAAAATGACTCTATTGTTATTCTCCTCCACTGTGCAAAATACCTGTTTATTTCTGCATCCCCTATTTGAGTACCTTAAATCCATTATTGTCTGTTTGATAGCAATAATGGGCTATACGGCTCAGGCCCATTATTTGCTGCATGTGAAACCTGTGCGTTTTCTGACAACTCTTCTCCACAGTCTGCTTTTCACTGGAAGAGGCGGAGGGCCTCCTTTCTGCATGCAAGCAATCAAATAAGGAGGATAGAATTCTGAGGCAGTCCAGGGGAGAACAGCATGCAGGCGAGGGGTGCCTTATTTCAAGGTATTCCGTCATATGAAAAGAAATGGGGAAAATAATCTCCCCGGATTACAGTATTCTCTTTCTTGCATTCATTTACTACTTAAAATACCACATGGTTGTTTTTTTTGCTATTATGGAATGGGAGTATTCAAAGATAGCTTCCTCCATAGGCAAACCCAAGAGGTGAACCCCATCCTGCCACCTCGGAATCTGCTGCCTCTTAGCTGCTTGCTGTCTCCTGGTGCAAGCGATCAATTCTGATCCAATGTGAAACAGATTTTAGGGCACAGCATACCAGGAATACCTCCGGCTCTCATTGCAAGAAGTAAATGAGATGTCTGCAAGCTATTCTTAAAGAACTCTTAGCCACCTTGGATTCTTTTAGAGAAAGGCAGGGTGACATATTTTAAATAAATAAATAAATTGTGTCAGGGGCATCTTCTTCTTCACTTCTACACAGAAGGGGTGTAGATTTAACAGTCACCCAAAATTAGGCCACATGCAATTAAAGGGAACCCTTTCTGTCCTCTGACACTTAAGACTATACATTATTTCTAGTATGTCAGTTTGTTACACCCAATTTGACCAGATGGATCAAGGATGGGCAAAGTGCAGCCCTGGGCCCAAGGCCCCAGCACCTGGTGTGCTCTCCCCAAATTTAAAAATGACTCCAAAAGGTGGCGGACATTTTGCCTTATTTTTGGCTCCTGCTGGGCCATATGTTGCCTTAGACGTAGCCAGTGATTCATAAGCCACCACCATAAAACCAGAACAAAACAAAGCAAACAAAACGTAGCCAGATGTGATATCCATTTTCCCCACATTTTTTAAAAAAATAGTACAGTGGGAAGAGTGGAGTAGGTCCCCTAAGGTATAGGGGTGGGTGTGTCTGGTTCCTCACAGTTGCAATTGGCATGGGAGAAAATTGCAGAGAGAAAATTAGTATAAGAGACAATGAATTTATATGATGAAATTGGCTATAGCCTATGAAACCTTGAGCCAAAGAAAACAGGTTACTTTTTAAAGGTGCTATAAATGTCTTTGTTGTTCTTCCTCCCCTCAAAATAAACACCAGTGAACATTTTTATTCTTTATTAGGGAAATAATAGGAGGTGTGGATTATTCTGTAAAAATCAAGTATCTTTGTTAATCCAGCAAACTGGAATCCAGTGTTGGCTGCTCTTGACATACTACTCCTTCATAGAAGCCAGGGAGAGGCCCTTGTGGAATTATCTTAATAAGAAGAGGGAAGAAATACATGCATTGCCTGTTTCTACTAATGAGAAGTCCATGTTCTAATTTGGGATGGCAAAGAAGCTTGTTTTTATTTGTGTATGTGAATGAGTACATGGAAGCTTAGACCACCCCCTCTAAAATAAGCAACTCTGGAAGTAGTCCTCAAATGGACCTTAACTGAGTAATAGATCCCAGATTTCAGTCTTCCCCTCCCCACCCCCCACACAACCCTTCTTAATAGAATATCTGTGTTTGTTCACTCTGTTGTCTGGCTTCCTGTCAAGATATCCTGCAGCCAGCCTAGAGCAGCTTCTAATGGGCTGCCAGGGGATTTAGTCTGATACGAGTGTGTACCAGGTGCTGACAGCTTGCTGGAACAGCCCGCTCTGCTAGTGTGATTGGAAATTGGTCTCTCATTTTCACTCTGTCATAGTGGGTAGATAGCAGAGGGATGAGCAGGGCTGCATGCTTTCTCTAGTTTTCCACTGCTGTGTGAGGTGGGGCATGGAGAGCAGCCTTTTCTGCTTGTGGATGATTCCTTGAAGCTTGCTTCTGCTCTTTTGTCATAAGGGCTGCACTCTTATCACATGAAGCAGACCCCCTTGGACAGAAGATTCAACACAGGGCTGACATTTTCCTGCACTTTATTCTTTATCCCTTTCGTTAGAGAGAGAGAGAGAGAGAGAGAGAGAGAGAGAGAGAGAGCAAGTACTCTAGTCTAGAGTGCACCCTGTGTGTGCGTGTGTGCAAATGTAACATCAACATTTTCAAATGTGAAGATGTCTAAAGCCAACAGTAGGTGGTATGTAACATTCACTAAGGGCTGAAGAATGTTGTTGTTAGTATGCACAAATAAAACAAAAGTGTCTCCTCCATAGCTCCCCTGGGTATGCTAATTTAAATTTTGAAGACATTATCTGTTTAATTGACATTAACAATTAATTAGTAGTGCAAGTAGCATTTTGAGAAAGCACTACCCTATAGCAAGTACGACCAATTACTAGGTGACCAGGAAGAAACCAAAGGCAGTACTTGATTTATTTATTTATTTATGAAATTATATTCTGTCTTCTCTATAATGAACTCAACCCAGCGAATTACGTTAGGCTGATAGAACATGACTGGCCCAGGGTCAAATAATGAGCTTCATAGCTCAGTGTGGACTACAGGATTTCCCAAGCCCCAGCATAATGTTGCACCATACTGGTTTTATTCATTTATTCATCACTTTAAAGATGTTTATGTACTGTGGGCATGTATTTTGGTAAAGAGGTTAACAAGAATTTGTGTGAATTACAGATTGCACTTTACAGATTTAGAGAGAGAGAGATAGAGAGACATACAGACAGACAGACAGAGTAAGGGACTTATAAGGATGTTTTTATTTATAAATGACATATCAACTTGGAAGTGAACCTGGGTGTATAAGACACATTCCATATTCCTAGCATTCAGATGTTTTCAAGACAGGAAGGGTTTGTAAGAATGCATTTGGATTTGTATGCTTTAAAATCCTTGCAGAGTATCTCTGAAGGGCAGACAGGACATACTTCAGTTGTTTCTGTCTCCTGTTTTATGTAAAGCCATGAAAATTAGCACTATAGACTGCAGTCAGCAGGAGGTTTGTATAGCCAAGTGTTAGGAAGGCTCAGATAAAAATCACATACATTTAGAGGTAAACGGAAGTCATTTGTGTTTCCTTCCCTCCCTTCTTCCTCTTTTTTTTTCTTTAAACAAATGGAGTTGTTTCGGATGGATAGGTATCACAGGCCATCAACCCAGGAACCATATAAAAATTTCAGCATACGCATATATTCATGGAAAATGAGAGCAAGAAAGTGGACAAACATGCTGCAAGTGATTGTGGCTTTGTTCATGAGTGATTTAATTTTAGCTGACTACTATATGAATCAAGTTGTAGGGAATGGAGTTTTCCTTTGTTTATCAATTAATCTAATCCTTCTGTTTTCCTTGTATCAGGGCATCTCACATGGATCATCAATTATCTGCAGAAGATAAGATTCCAGAGACTTGGAGGTAGCCTTGAAGGAAAGCCCCCTGGCACATGTGTTCATTATTTGTGTCCAGCCAGAGAGGATGTCTTTTGGTCAATTAAGATTTTCTGGTTTTTGTAGTGCTTCATGTTGTATCATGAACCAATCAAAACAAGCCCCGGAAGGATGCCCAGCACTGGTGCAAGAGGTATGTGGTTTCTACAATTCTGGATAATGGAAATGAGTACCCAGCATCTGTATGTTCTTCTTTATTCACACACTTGGAATTTTCCTCATGTTATGGATTTCTTAGATGGGGATGGACCAGGACATTAGCAAGGTATGAAGTCTTCATGTTATAAAGAAATACATGCTTCACAAGTGGAAATAGAAATATATTGAACATACAGGCAAGGTTGTGTTCCTGTTCAGGGAGTTCGATTAACGGTTGTTATTCTTACTGTACATTCTCTTTCCATCACAACAAATGCCCTTTTTTATTCTACTGCAGGGACACCCAAGACAGACAGGTCATAGTGGAGAGTTCCGACTAAACACAATCCACCTGGAGTAGGAACTGGCAATGCCACTCCAGTATCTTTGCCAAGAAAACCCCATGATCAGAAACAAAAGGCTAAAAGATATGATGCTGGAAGATGGGGCCCTCAGGTCGGAAGGTGTCCAACATGCTACTGAGGAAGAGCAGAGGACAAGTACAAGTAGCTCCAGAGCTAATGAAGTGGTTGGGCCAAAGCCAAAAGGACGCTCAGCTGTGGATGCGCCTGGAAGTGAAAGGAAAGTCCGATGCTGCAAA